GATAGATAGATAGATAGATAGATAGATAGATAGATAGATAGATAGATGTTCATGTTAAACAATAGGAAATGTGGATCCACACAGGAATATGTGTCAAATACACCAAAAAAGGCAACAATTATTACCCAGAGATATAGGAACCTTTGGTGTTAGGAAACCCAGAGGAGGGCTGACCCAGTTATGTACTGAAGAGCCTTTTTCAAGCTATAGAAACCTCTTTGTGTGTCCATGTTTGGTGGTGCTAAACATCTGCCATGTCCTTATGATGCATATGAAGCATTGATGGATCAGATATATTTGGATTATTATTAGTATCGACCTATGTATGAATATTTGTACTTAAAATCTTAATGGTCTAACATCTGCGCCTCTTAAATTGTAAGTTAACAACCAAAAAAAAACAACACAACAGGATTGATTTAAGCAGAGATACGCATTTAACATTTAGATTTAATCGATTAGATTTTAAGATTTTTCTGTTAGAGACAAAACAACAAATCCAACTCCACATATCTCCTTAGAAATACATAAAACCACTTTAGTGTGAATCATCAGCGTGTAGAGGACCAGTCTATTATACATCTGTACAAACAATAGCACTGTTTTGGCACACGGATAATTTGCTTATACACTTTGTAGCTATATTCCCAAATGAATGAATTCTTGTTGCTGGTAATTTACTCGGAATTGATTGAAATAATCTGTAATGTGAATCAGTCGTAGCAAAACGAGAACAGCATTTAATAATATGAAGCTGGCAGGACTGCAGGGAGGTCTGTTTCTACCGCAAATCAAATTTAGATCTGCAGCACTGCGATGCAACGCTGCCCTCTTGTGGTTGGATTTGGAAATGCACCATTATTTCACTACCATTCAACTCTATGCACAAACTTAAAAAAATGAGTTAAAAGATTACGTTTTTACTTTAATTATTATATAGTAATTAATACTTAGGGGTTTTAGATGAAAAACTTAAAAAACGTGACCTGTTATACTTTTGAAAATACCAACCAATTTTGTGTTGTTGAGGTATCTTTTGGGGGGGTTCATTAACAAAACACACAGCAGCTTTACGAACAGATGGAAGTGAGGTTTGGAGGCTGCTTGTTCAAAGTCTGCTGATGTTTCATATCTCAGCAATCATCAAACAAACAATCTAAACGAACGCCCTTAATCTCCTCATCTGATTAGCTTCGGCAAATGAACAGACTCGTCTTTAAAGCCCCCCCGCTCTCCAGAGAGCGTTGCATCACGCCTCCCCGTGCTGCGACAGGAAGTTTGGAGAAACTTTTCCACGCCACCTTCATATTAATTGGACTGTCTTGGAGGATGATGAAACATTTGAGAGGCAGATATTTGACCACGAGGACAGCTAGATATTATCTTTTCTGTCAGGATGTCTCTGAACACCTTTTTCCCCTGAGACATGAATCCTGAAGCCCTGACAGCTCAGAGAAAAGCAGCAATCCCGTGTTTACTTTGCTTCTGACGGTCCCTTTTTCTCTTTTGCATGTGTGGAGTTGTTACACGTTTTCCTTATAAGCTTCCACAAAGATCTTTAGTGGTAATTTGTGGGTATTTCTTCCTTCCTTTGTGCTCAGTCCAAACTCTCAGGACAGATTTCTTTCATGAGAGGAAGTGGTCCGTCTGTGGAAAACGAGTTCATTCGCACTAATTAAAGTCATTTTTAGGTCTCTCCAGTTAGATTCAAAGCGGTTTTCATGCAGCGACAAAAAACTCGAGAAAAAGATCAAAACCAGCAATGAAATAATCCAACTATCGACTATTATCTGGGTCTCCAAAGCTCTGGTGCCTGTTGAGATTCTCTCTATTAAAGGCGCTCAATCACTGAGTCACAGAGCAGAAACACAACTGAAACCTTCCCTCTCTGTCCGGTTTTTTGTAGAAACGTGTCCTCAACAGGAGGAACAAAATGCAGCAAAAGGAAGAGGGAAAGTTGTGCCGGTTTGGTTCTTTTCAGAACAGTCCGAGAAAAACCAAAAAGGCTTTCTGTATCCTTCGGCTAAGTGGGGGGCTGCAAATCACTCTTTAAATGTCCTCAATTTCATTGACAGCGTTGTTAGTTTGATTCACAGTTTTGCCTGTGAGCGTTTGGAAATCCACTGAAAGTGGGACAGCTTCAAGAGGACGATTTTCCCTCTAAAGAGCGAATCGGGTTTAAATCTCAGAATGAGGATAAATAACTCTCTGGGCATCTGATTATGTCTGGTTCCTGGAAAACATTTCCCACGAAGACGATAATTAACGAGCCCTTCAAACACTGTCGCCTACTGGCATAATAATCATTTCCACCTGTTAAACTACAGAATTAAGTTACTATTTTAGAGGGTTTGGTTCTATTCCCTGAGGGATTTCAGTACCTAGTAATTCTATGAAAAAATACATTTCCTGGAGGTTTTCTGTTCACGTTAAAAGTCCAACGACTGCCAGAAAGAGGCGGAATGTTCCGGGCCCTGGCTGGATTGTGTGGCAGTGACCTTTATGGCACATCACGAGGACTCGGTGTGGTCGGGGAGTAGACGCGGATCTGGCACAGGCTGGCTCCCGTTCGCGGTTGCCATGGTGCCAAAGCCTGGCGGAGCGGGAGGAAAAATCAAAAGGCTCATTTCATTTGTTTAATTTCAGCCCTCTCGTCTCCTCTCTCCCGAGACCCGGGAATCGTGCGCGGCATCAGTCTTTTTGGCACCCGTGACGTTAAACAAACGAATCTCACGTGTGAGCTGAGTTTAACACGTAAATAAATCCAATGAATCATCAGCAGGTTTAACGCTGGTCTGATGAAACCCATTAAACAATAAGGGGGAGTCAGAGCAGTTTTTTCTGCCTGTGAAGCGTCCTTTATCGTCTCATTTAGCAGCTAACCCCGGAGCATCTTTTTATAAAGAACACAGATTGCCAGCACTTGGTTGGTTTCCATACAAACTGGGATTTATATAAACAAATATGAGGACAAGATAGTTTGAACATATCTCTCACAGCCTTAATCTTTTTTAAAGTAACGATTTAGATTAAGTATCATGTTAAAAACAGGAGATCTACTCATGTATCATACTGATGTACCTAAAAGGTGTTTTTTTTTAAGTGGTTTTCACCAACACAACATATTTCTGGGTTAGATTTATGCCCCTACACATTATGTTAACAGTGAGATCTTCCCATTACAACACAATCCTGCCATTTCTGGCGCCACAATTACGGTCAGATTTTCCAAAACGCTAGTTTTCATTAAGCAGAGCCCTGTGGACGAGGCTTTAGAGCAGGAGGAAGGACAGCGTCCCTGTTGCACACGGGTCCGGGGCTCTCTTTCAAGCAATTAGCCTCCAAATTCGAATGGCGCTGTGATTCTATTATTTCCGACGTCTTTTATAGCCGCTTCCCAAATGTGAAAAAGAGATAATCCGCCTCCCTGTCATGCTCCTAACATCCCCACAGCTGTTCCCACCCTCTCCACCTTCATTTTTTTTTTTTTATGTGTGTGTGTGTTTCACAATCCCATGGTCCTGGTGTGGTTTGTCGAGTGGAATCCCTCTGACTTGTTTTTTTGTGTGTCCACACACAGCAAAAAGCCAAAGAGACCCCAGAGGCAGAGGCAGCAGAACAACCGGCTAAAACCTCTGACTCTGGCCTACGACGGGGACACCGACATGTAGCGGAGCGCAGAGGAAACTGCTTCGTCCTGCTTTACAGCGCCAACGGACGCGTGTCACAGAGCGGGAAAAACGGCCGAAAAAACGCTCCGGGCCCCAACCCCGTTCGGTCCTGGCTCG